TCAGTATGTTCTGTATAAAGCAGGGGTGTCAAACTCAATTTCATCTCGGGCCACATTAGCATTATGGTTGCACTCAAAGGGCCGGTTGTAACTATATAATGTATATATATATTTATATATATATAATGTATTATATTACATTATTGCCTCTGAATTAGATTATTATCGGATAGGGTAATAACTTAGTAATTAACTACGTCTGAAAGCAGAAGTCCAGGGCAAATAATTGCAAGTCTCTTCAGTGCCATGTCACAAAACGAGATGCATTGTGGGACATGTAGTTTAGGGGCAACCTGCTTATGTAAAGTGGCATGTAACCGTATAATAAACGTATTATATTCTCTGCAAGCTCTTGCGGGGCCACATAAAATGAAGTTGCGGGCCGGATTTGGCCCCCGGGCCTTGAGTTTGAGACCCCTGCTTTAAATTATTAGTATTTTCTTTTTTTATTATTTGTATTTTTTTATTATTATTATTATCAACATCATCAGACATCCGCTAATTCATCCCAACAAAGAGGTCTCACTTACTGATGGTCATCCAGTAGATCTGGAGGGGGGGTATCCCTTGAGGGGGGTTACACTCTAAAACCAAAGCCTGGCCTTCCTCCACCTCCACAGGATCCAGGGTCTCTTTAGGAAACTTTGGGACATCTGAAGAAAAGAAGGGAATGAATGATACGAAGGAAGCAGTTCCCTCGTTCTCCAGGAGATGGCAGTGAAATCATTCTTGGGTTTAGTCAGAAGCTTATAAAGTGTTTCCTGCTCTCTGTATCACTCAGTGGAGAAATCTATGTGAGATTTTGGACAAATCAGTCATCACTACTATTATTGTGTCTGAGTGCTAAATGTCTTCCCCCCCATAGAGTGGATTCAACCTGAGAGTGTATATACAGTGTGGAAGCTAATGGAAAGTGTAGCAGAGGAAATGATGGAGAGGCTGCATCCCCCTCAATGCTCTTTTCTCCAGTGCGGTGCTATAGATGAGGGGCGGAGAGCTCGGGAGCCCCAATGACTTTCTGCCACGTCCGATACAATGAAAAGCACACAATGGAGAGGCGCAGTCATTACACAGGCCCTGAATCACTTTGAAAGCACTGTAACAGAGCACCACACACACACAGACCTACACACAGATGTATGTTACTCACGGGGCACAATGAACTCAATCTCCTTGGATATGGCGGTCCCCAGTCTGTTTGAGGCGTAACAGCGATAGTTTCCCTGGTACTCTGTGAGGTTCCCATTATTAGGTATCACAAAGGTCCCAGAATTCTCCTCTTTCATCAGTCGGGGGTCTAGATCGGGGTCGAATTCCTGGCCATTCTTGGTCCATCTGAATCTACATAAAGAAAGGCAGTGTTGAAATGTCAAGGCCTTGGGTCAGCACTGCAGAAGGCTCTTTTCCCACCCAAATTCAACTTGTAGACAAACTGTTGTTGTGGTTGTTGTTTTTGCGATCAGCTACTCACTCTGGCTCGGGGTTTCCCTTGGCTTCGCACATCATCGGGAAGCTCTCGTCGAAGGGGAAGGCGATGAGAGAGCTGGGCGACTGATCGGTGATGGTGGGCAGCTGCTCGACTGGAGAAACACAGCACAGGGTTTAATACAGAGCTCTGTTCAGCAGTATCACAGTCAATGTGATGGAAACGAGTAGTGGTTCCCAACCTTTTTGGCTTGTGACCCCCCTGTTAGAAAGTCAACTTGTGACCCCTCGTCGAGCAGCTTTTGCACAAATCACCTCAAGTTAAGAATTTAGTTTGAAGCCAAGTTAAAGTTTCCTTATAACAAAATCAACTGGAAGAAATAGGCTTCTCTTAAGGTTTCTTTGATAATATTTACTTAAGTATCTCATTATCTTGGTCTTATACTTAAGTCTTCCTTTTAAAGTTAGTTAGTTGCAAGAAAGTCCTCAGCAATCAAGAATGGAACAAGACTTTAGGTCCCTCTGAATATAACTTAAATGAATAAGAAAAATGAGCACATGGTCACAAGAATGTTCCGCACTATGGATCTAGTATTCGATACCTGATTTATCCGGCTGTTTAGAGTTGGATCACTCTACCTTCTGCAGCTGTGCTCTTTACACACCTTTGCAGTTTAAAGCGTGCTCTCTTTTGGCCAGAACAGACACGTTGGCAATCCAGAGGCCACATCTGTGAGATAACGGTAAGTGAAACAGGCACAGAAGCCAGTTGCAAGCAAACAAAAGGTTTTTATGACATCTCTTCTAATGCAGTTAATGTCTTACATTTATTTGTAGGAAATATCTTTTAAGGGATTCTGTGCACAACTCTTAAGAAAGTCCATCAGATAAGGGGTAATACTTAATAGAACTTTAAGGTGTTCGGCCATTGAAGAATATCTCTTAAGGATTCTAAGATAATCCTTAAGTATTAAAAAAGTCCAGCTTTTCATAGAAAAAGCACAAATGAAGAGTAGTCTCTGAAACTGTAGAATATCGTCAAACGGAAATATGTTTTTCTTTATTTCTTATCCATTGAATCCTCTTGTGACCAGTCAGATTCACTCAGGTTGGGAACCACTGGAATGTGAGGTTTATGATGAGTTACATCCCAAAAACATTGGTGTATAATACTGACAATAACATTACTCTAAATGAATGAAACATGTAGTATTTTGTCAAAAGTTAATGATTCAAATGAATAAGTGGTTTTGTTAGATTGGTTTTATTCTCTTATTTGGTCTTGTATGATGGCCTACTTGTGACAATATGGAACAAACACAACACAATAAGTATGAATAGTACTGTGTATAGAGGAAGATATGGGCATGCCATGAGTAGTACGAGCTAAATGGAGTCACGACTGATGACACATGAGATTGTGATCCAACACATATGGCTGTAAGTAAAGCTTCTGCTGCGCTCCACAGCGAACCAAAGAGATTAGCAGCAGACAGCAGAGAATGTCGCTAATACGAGCTACGCTATGGCAGAGTGAACTTACTGTTTACATGACCTAAAACTACACAATCCATGGCAGCAGGGGGGGGAATAAACAAAACGAAAAACAGTCAGCATTTTGGGAATAATCTCTTCATGTCTCAAGCATTCTCTATATAAACCCTTCTAAACACACACACATGAGTAATGCATAACAGGAGGCTGAATTAAAAGGATATTCCGACATCAGGGAACACGAAAACCTCTCCTCAGAAAAGCCTGTTTGAACTGTTCTTTATCAAGCTCTTAACAGATACTTCTGAATAATTTAAAAAGGGAGAGGTTTGATATGTGTTTCCAAGGAAACTGGGGTACACGCAGAAACAACACAAAGAAAACAAACCTGATTCACACGAGATAAGAGCTGTAAATGTATTCCATTCACAGAACGCTTGATGAGTGTAACAGTTCTCTGTGTTGGATTTATTCGCCTGTAAATTATTCGACACCTTTTTTGCTGATAAAACCAGTTCTCTGTAGATGAGCTTTAACTATTTTAACACTCCTTTCACATTACCTGTCCTTCTGTATACACTGCTGCATGTGCTTGCTTCATCAAGGACTGTGTTTAATCAACATAGTGTTCCTAATAAGTAAGGGTCCTTTGTGTAAACATTTGGGAATTGTATAATGAATGAGTTATTATCTTGAATGTACAATATTTTAATTTCAGAATGAACATGAGGCTTAATGTATTAAATTGGATGTTCACTGTTCATGTGTGTCATCAAGTTTAGAAGATCACATTCTTGCAAATATCCCAGCATGCATTGGTGGGGGGTTAAAACCAAGCCCCCAGGAAGCGTGTCGGACATTGAAGTAAATATTTGTAATGGCTAACGATGGTACTAAAACTCCTGTGACGTCAATGGGTCCAAAAATACTATTTCACATTGACTTACATTGGGGAAAGAGACTTCTGTAAATCAGCTGATTTTTGTTGTTGTTGTTATATCGACTACCCAGTACGAACACTGTTATAGCCCAACCATGAACTTTCATATGAATGAACGGGGTCCTGCATCCAACGCTGTATTCAGTTCTCTATATATCCATACTTATAACTCTCCTTCAGAAACCCTTTGATTAATTTCTCTTCAAGTTGAAAGGACTTGCTGTATGCATGTTCTTCTTTAGTGCATTAAACTTGCCTTTTAAATTATTCAACATACTTTCCTAAAATCAAATAAAAAATCTATCTTGAGAGAGATGCTTGCCTCCAATGCAATTTAATGGAAGTCAATGGAATTTAGTTTTCGGAGCTTACAGCACTCAACATTTTAAAATACAACATTATTTCAGAAACATGTCCATACTGTATCTCTCTGGATATTCAATACAATTACATCTTGACTCTTTCTTTGTTAGAAAGTGAAAGCAACATGTGTGTTTTCATTATTAACGCAAACTGGCCCTTTAAAAATACCAGTCATTGAATTAGTCATGCATACTAAGAGTCAGCACTCACCCTCCAGTGGGATGTCGAAGGCTGTCGTTGCATAGAAGGCACACATACAGATGATCAGGCAAAGCACGGCGGCCAATCCCGGGCTCTTCTGTAACCTCATGGTTTGTCTTTTGAATATCGGACGTCCTCAAGTAACGCGTGCTGTCTGCTGCTCGGTCCTCAGTTCATTTCTCTGGCGCGCTGAGGATGGGGTACCTGTAAAAGCAGCACAGACGGAGGCCCCCATGAATCCACCCACGCGCTGGCAGACAGAAAAGACAAACCCCAAACACAACAAATCCCCCGTGACCGTGAGCCCGACTGCTCCCTGCTCAGCCAGGCGTCACCAGGCACATATCACACTTTCATTTGCATCAACAGGGACTCGGTGCTGCGCTAGTTCAATGTTTTACTGTGACAAAGAAATATTCTCTTTAAAGCCTGCTATCATCCCCTTCCCCCTGGGACCCGGCTTGTTTTTTTAGTTTGATGTCTGTGGAAGTGTGTAGCGGAAAGTGTGTTTTCCTGGAGACAATGGAAATAAATGACTAAACAAATGAAGGAGCCTGTGGACTTATTAATGCATGGCAGATGTTCAGAATTACTGAAAGAGTGAATTTATTCCCGAAACCAAGCCGAGATTCAAATCAAAATTACCATCAAAGTTATAATACAATGCATCCGACATCGGTGCCTGCATGTTTCTGATAACAATGACTCAAAAAGATTAGAATGCAGCTACACGTTTATCTATTATTGCAGAAATATTGCAGCCTGAGGGGCGTGAGGCAGAACAATCTTTCATAGTTAACAGTTACAGAGAGTGAGCTGTGTGCGGCTGCAGAGTACCTGGATCATTTTGCAGCTAACAGAGCAGAGTCTGGACCATAATGAGCACATGATGGGTCCACAGTGCAGAGAGGGTGGAGAGAGGCTGGAGAGAGGAGGACGGATGTATGGGAATTGTAGTGTCTGTAGCAGTGATGTTAACACCCTCTGGGGTGCCAGTTCATTAGTCTCCCTCGAGTTGGCTCGGGCCCAACTCCGTGGGTTACACTGAAGTAATTAGCTCCACACCATAATAACAAAAACAGCAATACTATAATATCAACAAATTAAGAGTTTTAGAGTAATGTGAAATTATAAAAAGAGTTGCTGGTAGTTATGTAAGACAGGACGTGTGCTCTGAGCATCACACTTCTAAAGTATCATGATTACATTTCAAAGGAGAAGCGTGTTTTCGGTGTAACCGGTGATTAACAATGTTTGGGCGTACACTAATTAAAATACTGGCCAGCCAACCTACCCGACCCTCTCTTTTTATATAAATAAAACCCATTAGAACCCATTTTCAGGGCCCACATTTATTAAATAAAATATACCAATTGTAAATCTGCCCCGTTCAGCAGCAGAGTGTCAGCACATAGGAGAAGAAGTTGGATTTCACTGGTGTGGGATGAAAGCAGGGATTTATACGAGATTAGGGAGAGTTGACCGACAAGACAATGGCAGGAGACTTGGTGTCTAAGTATTTGGAATTAAAACCCAATGCTATTAGGAAGAAATGGAAATCTGAAATATTGTGCTATAGAACCGCGGTGCAGTGGCGGCAGGTGTAAAGCTTGGTCAGAGAGGCCGGCCACAAAGCCATTCAACACTAAAGATCAAAATGTGCGTTCTAAACGGGATCAATTTTCTTTGAAATGTTCTGGTATGGTTAAACCAGGGTCACACGTTTATAAAGTGGGACATTTTCCTCATCATGGTGTCCCAAAAAAGGCATGTGCTGTTCGAGCACCAGTAACCCATACAGTGACCATTGTGCGCTGAACCTTACAATATCTATAAAGCTCGCTGTTGACATGGTTCTTGATTTCAACTTTGTTCTAATCTTCTTGCTGTCTTAACAACGTCAATATGAAACGCTGAGGTCAAACTCCTGTTCAAGGGATGTAATTAAAAAATTGACCGTAGGACAAAAGAGTCGATGTCAGATCTGTTTTCAGACGAACGTGCACTCTGAACTTCTCATCCATGCCTCATGTTAATGGTATTAACTCTGTCCGTGACTCAATGCTAGCTTTCTGAACCACTGCGACCTCCGCCCCCCCCCCACCTACACCATCACCAACAAGGCTCCACACTTCTCAGTGTGCTATACATTATGTACACCCAACCCACTCCATCACAATTCAGGCCTATTGACTTTATTTCCAGCTGAACATTGGCGTCTCAGAGTTATAAGTCAAGTAGAAATAAATGCCTTAGGCTTTCTATTGTTTCACTGTTTCCCAGGCATGATGATTTATGTTGCTAAACACTGGTTAAAATCAAAATCTAAGGGCTTTGTGCTAATTGGCTTGTGCTTTGTTGGTAAGATTGGGTTGGTTAAGAGAATTGGGATGGGGGCTTATAATCCCCACAAGAAAATGTTTTCTCATTGTCCAATTGTGTTCTCCTCACCAACCTAACACCACCTAATATATGGATTACATTGTTCAAACTGTGCTTGATCATTTGCCTTCTGATTTAATTTGTTCTCCCCTCGTTAAACATTTATGGAGAACCGGCATGGCCATCTGGTGGAGAGGAGGTCCGCTCGTGGGGTTTAACTGCTGCGAGTGTTGATGTCTACATTCATAGGGTATGCTGCCTATTCGACCTATGTGCTGCACACGAGAGGGGCCCCCTCCAGCTCGGCTGATTTACAGACGGCAGGCTGTCCTTAATGCCCGCCTCTTTTAGCAGCCATCACACCGGGCTGAGATTGATGAAGCTGGCAGGAGGTTAAAAGCTGCTCACTGTGGGAAGGCCAATATGAACCCTAACCCTAACTTAGCCAAGGCTCAGAGGGGACAGAAGCTGTGGGGTGGAGGGAAGTGGAGACAAGTGGGACAAGTGGAATCTGCCTCTGTACTTTAAAGCTCTCTGTTTGACAGATGTAGAGCGCTCCCCGATAAACTTCCTGTTCGTCAACAACACCAGAACACTTTGGAATGTAGACCAATTTGGTACAAAGGCATTGTAACCTAATTGTTTCCATCATCATTACTGCCACTGCCACAGTCAAAACTACCCAACAAGTTTTCAGACTTCAAACCAACCCTGATTCTGTCATGAGCGACATGACGAGTTTACAGCCTCCCTTATAACAGGGCTACACAATAGTTTCACTGTCCAAACTTGTACAATCTTTAATGTTATCTTTAAATCCCGCAGCGTGAAGTCTACAGTCAAGAAGCTTGTATCTTGGTTCATTTTTTATCCGTGTAAAATCCAACACATCTCCAACAGCATTCTTTGCTACCATGTTATTTCCGTCAAAACATGTTATGTATATGTTAAAGAAGTGAAAGCCAATAGTAATGTGCAGGGTGGTAGTTCCTGTGGATAGGTCTAATTGCTTGAGTATGAGATTGTGGGCGGACGCTTGCTCTCTGCATGCTTAACTGCATGGTAAGGCTTCAGGTGATGTAGTTAGTGGTATTTCCTGTCTTAGTTTGAACACTATATATCAAATCTGATTCTGTATCATGTCCAATGTCTTCTTGCCTCTTTACATTTAAGAGATGCTTGTTTCTGTGACAGGAAACGGTTTCCTCAAAGCAAGTCTTCATCTTATAGTTTTAGATACCAAAACAACAGCATAGGTGTGTTTACAGTATCTGAATAAACAAACGCTGTTTCCATTCCTAATACACACATCACAAAAGGTTAGAAACATATTGTTCTCTGATTCATAGGGTGTCAGAACATTTGTTAAGAATGTAACATTTCTAGTATTTTGCTTAAACTATTGCGAAACTGTGATCACTGTGCGGCTTCCAATAACCTTGGCACGCTTCTAAGAACAATTGGCAAGCTCTGTGTTCCTTGACTCTTACGGTTTGGCCATCTGGTGCAGCATCACACCTAACTTTGACCGACAAACAAATGCACTAAATGTGCACACACTGTAAGATTGAATGAGGAAACGAATACCGCGACAACAAGTTGTTTCCTAGAGCATTCTCCACACTTGTGGCGGTGTTGTTTTAGTAACGGGGAGGGGTCCAAGCGCTAGCCCATTGAAAGTTCACTACAGTAGGCTCTTGAGCTGGCACCATCTGCTGCTTTCTCACACAAAGACAAGAGGCGGAGAAGTGTGGGCCTACTGTAGTTTAATGTGCAAGCCTGTAATAGGATTAAGCAGATCCTCAACTTGTCAGGCTGGATTAAAATATTCTCTTGGTTAAAGACCTTGGACGGGAAGACAGCCGCTCACACCCCCCCCCCCTCTCGCAGCTCTGATAATGCCTCCACACTGATTCCCATTTGATCATTAAAGAACTATTCAAACAAAGGCCGAGCTGATTAACACTAAGCGCCAATTGACTCGCGTTGCTTCTGATGTGTGTGTAATGAGTGCAGTTCCTTTCCGTCGTCGTTTTGTTCCCTTTTGTCCAATCAATTGCTCATTTAGCTTGGAAATCTGAGACCCTCTTTAGCTCTGAGACAAAGATGTTTTTTAAGTGGCAAAACTTCTTTATGTAGAAATTAATTAGCCTCTGTGTTCAGAGATTTAGCTTTCTCCCCCTTTGCTCTTCAGAATGTGAAAAAGATGATATTTCAACCTTTGGCAACGATTCGCACAATCAGTAGTTTACTCAGCCGTGCAATTCATCTATTATTAAAATATCAGTCAAAAGGAAAAGAAAAAAACAGAAACAAGACGATGAATGAGATTAGGAAGTTGGATAATATGCTTGTTTAATTGAGATTCTGCTCGATTTTACCGCAGTTCAGAAAGCATGGCAGTTCAATTATGGTAGCATTAATATTTCAGGGGTCTGTGGCTCGAGCAGGGCGAGGGGGCTGGAGCTGGAAGGAGGCAGGAGGAATGGGAAGAGTCTCTCAGGTGTGGAGGAATGAGAAAGAGATAGAGCAGCTGCACTGATGTACTGTGGGGTGTGTGACCCCTGTGTTCTGTTTGAACTAATGAACAACGACCTTGATGAACTCTCCTGTCCTGGGGGGAGTGGGATAACCTGCAGTGACCCGCAGAGCCTCCTGTGACTACATGCAGTACTGCAGCAGGATGATCATAAAGAAACATGTATGATAATAATAATAATAATAATAATAATAATAATAATAATAATAATAATAATAATAATAATAATAATAATAATAATAAGTTGAATTGATATAGCGCCTTTCATAACCTCAAGGCATAA